CGATGACGATAGACTGTGGTCTGATATCAACATGTCAATCCGAGACTCTGTAGATTGTCTGGATTGCAGGGATTCCGTTATACGATCTTTCAAACCCCTGTGGGACGATTTAGCCGCTCTTTGGCAGTGATTGTTGCAGTGATCGTTGCTGGGGGTTGAAGGAGGTCTTCTCTCCAACCCCAACGTCGTACGTCCCTCTTCTAAACTTCCCCTTCCCCTTCCCCTTCCCCTTCCCCCCACGTATCCCCCGCCCCCGACTCCATGCCCCCCCGCCCCCAACGCCCCAACGCCTCAACGCCAAAGTCCTCGAAAACATCATCCACCACCTCCAATCCCCCTCTCCCTCCGCTCTACGTCTACGTACCGCGTCTACCGCTCACGCCCGACAACGTTGATCAGGTGGAAGCTTTGGGGTCCAAGACGGGGCGAGGCGGGAGGTGTAAGAGTAATGTACGAGCAACGGTGCGATGGTGCCATGGTGCGATGGTGCGAGAGAGCGAAGAGGGGGGGTGGGAGGGTGCCAGTGTTGCGCAAGTATAGAGCTTGATGTTGGATATGATAGTCCAAGTGTATGATTATAAGACGTTCGCGATATGCACCAGGCCGTTATAAGACACGAGCCATACATTCCAACATCCAAACCTCCTACACAACAATCGCTTTCCCCCTCTTCCCTCTTTCTCCAACCTAATGCTTCCCATTGACCTTCCCCTTCCCCTTCCCCTTCCCCTTCCCCTCCTCCTCCCCCGCCGCCCCCGCCCCCGCCGCCCCCAAGCCCCTATCAACCCTAAAAAAGCTCCCATACGGCACCAACTCCGCCTCCGGGTTCAACTCCAGCCCCCACCCGGGCTCGTCCGTGAGATCCACCACGCCGTTGTGGGGGAGTACTTCGTTGGTGAAGAGGTTGCCGAAGGAGGGGTGGATGGATTTGCCGTCGGGGGAGTTTGCCTTTTTTTCATCGGGTTTTTTTGTTTTCGTTAGCTTGCTTCCTCTCGGGGTGGGTCTCGGGGTGGGGAGAGGGGAGGGAAGAGGAGGGAAGAGGTGGGAAGAGGCGGAAAGACAAGAACTCACGATGTACTCGCAAAAGTCCGAGTTCGGGAACGTCATGATAGCCTGGAACGAATACGGCCCCGAACCATGCGGCACCACCGGGATATCGTACGCTGCCGCCATCCTACGAGGTCGAGGGTAATCAGCACCCGCCCTCCACGTATCCTACGTATCACATAGTCCAACAAACGGGGCTGGGGAAGGGGAAGGGGAAGGGGAAGGGGAAGGGGAAGGGGAAGGGGAAGGGGAAGAGGAAGAGGGCAAACTCACGAAGCGACTTTGATCAACTCGGTCAGTCCTCCGAGCCACATGACGTCCGGCTGGATGATATCGACCGCACGGTTCTCGATAAGTTTTCGGAACCCATACCTAAAAGTGTACTTGCGTATCAGTATACCCCCTCGACGTCTCCAAAGACATTTTCAAGGACAAAGACAAAGTAGAGGTCGAGGTCGAGGGAGAGGGAGAGGGAGAGGGGAGAGAGAAGAAGAAGAAGAAGAAGAAGGAGACTCACTTGGAATACTCGTGCTCGCCGGTGGTAAACTTGATATGCGGCAACGCCTCCTTGAGCTTGACATGCCCATCAAAGTCGTCGGGATGAAGCACCTCTTCCCACCAATTCATCTCAACCCCTGCCTTCTCACACGCCTACCACCCATCAGCCCACCATCCCAAAAACACACATGCCAGAGTAGGGCGCGGGGGGGGAGACTCACCTTGATGAGCGCGATGGTATACGGCACATCCAAACTCATATAACAATCCACCTGCACCGGATAATCCTCCCCCACCGCCTCCTTACACGCCTTCAAATACCGCACATTCTTCCTGATCCCCTCGTGCCCGTCCGAGGGGCCGTGCGGGAGGGCGACTTTGGAGCCCCAGAACCCGAGCTTCTTGGCAACTTCCGGACGGGGGCCAGTGAGGTAAAGGGGAATGTCTTTTTTGGTGCGCCCGCCGATCATCTTGTAGATGGGTTCGCCCCGGATTTTGCCGATGAGGTCCCAGATGGCGAGGTCGACGACGGAGATGGCGGCGAGGGGAAGACCTGGTCGATATCGTCAGCAAACGAATCAGAGAAGCAAGAAGCAAGAAGCGAAAGAAGCAGAAGCAGAAGCAGAAGGGAGGACGAACCTTTACGACCGTAAAACATGGAAGCCCGGAACATCATATCCCACATTTTGTTGGTATCCCTCGGGTCTTGGCCGATGATGAAGCGCTTGAAATGCTCTTCAATGAGCCAGCAGGCAGGAGGACCGCCGAAACCAGTCGCATAGCCGACGGTACCGTCAGACGCGTGGACTTTGACTGTGACACGTATCAGCAGGTGCCGAAGCGAGGGTTTGGGGGGGACTTGCCAAAGATACTACCGAGGACGCCGATACCCCAGGACGTTCGCGAGACCTTGTACTCTTCGTACTTGTGCATGGGGCATGAGATGTTGCCTTGGACGACTGTGATGGACGATGAGCGCGATGGACGTAGTGGACTGGCGATGGCTTACTCCAGTGGTCGGTATTCTGTCTACAAGATGGTGAGCAAGAGTACAGCACGGAAAACGAAGAACGAACCTGTGATAGTCGCCCCCAGAGCCATTGGCGCTGGGGATAAAAGTCTCGAGCTTGACCTACGAGCTATGAGCAGTGAGCGAGATGAAGGGAGATGATACTGACGATGGTGGGCCACTGCTTGGGCATGCTGGGTGATATGTCTGCGGAGGGTGTAGGGGACAAGCAGACAGTCCATTGCGAGACGGAGCATATATACATGTACGAGATATTCGGATACGCCGGGCCGGGTACCGGGAAATAGGCGTGCCGGCTAGCCGAGATGTGGTCGGGGGGATCATGTGCCGTGCCGTTCCTTGAAGGGTTCAAGTATCGGACATGCCCCGACTGCTCCCCTCTGCATCTGCCATGTCGTTCGGTCTCCTCAAGGGCAAGGTCGTCGCCGTCACGGGCTGCTCCACAGGCATCGGCCGTGCAATCGCCATCGGTGAGCCCACTCACTGCCCCTGTATCCCACCCTCACCTCCCAGGCGCCGCTACCAATGGCGCAAATCTCGTCCTGCACCACTTCGGCGACCACTCGACACGTTTCGACATTGCCCAAGTCGAATCCGCATGCCACGACCTCGGCGCAAAGACCGTGACCGTCCCAGGTGACATATCAGACGCCAAAACAGCCTCAGCCGTACGCTCCCCCATCTCCCCTTCTTGCCCCATGCTCATCAAGGAGACAGATCGTCTCCGCCTCCGTCTCTTCCTTCTCCCGCCTCGACATCCTCATCTCCAACGCCGGTATATGCCCCTTCCACTCCTTCCTCGACCTCCCCCACCCCCTCTGGCACCGCGTCCAAAACGTCAATCTCAACGGCGCATTCTACGCCGTCCAAGCCGCCGCCAACCAGATGGCCTCCCAGTCCCCCAAAGGCGGGTCCATCGTCGCAGTCAGCAGTATATCCGCATTGATGGGGGGAGGAGAGCAGTGTCATTATACACCCACAAAGGCGGGGGTGAAGAGTCTGATGGAGAGTTGTGCCATAGCGCTGGGACCGATGGGCATCAGGTGTAATTCCGTTCTTCCCGGTACGTCCCCCTTCCCACCCCCCAGCCCTCTTTCCTTCCACTTCCACTTCCACTGACCATACTGTAGGAACAATTGAAACAAACATCAACAAACAAGACCTCGCCAACCCTTCCAAACGCGCGGACCAGATCCGCCGTATCCCCCTCGGACGTCTCGGCGAGCCTGAAGATCTCGTCGGTCCTGCATTGTTTTTTGCGAGTGATTTGAGCGGGTATTGTACGGGGGCGAGCGTGCTTGTGGATGGGGGGATGGCTATCTCATTGCAGTAGAGAATTAGGGGAGAGAGAGGAGGGTGATGTGGGATAGTGTAATGTACACCGCGCATTGCTTGTTGCCTTCCATTCCCTCTGTGCTCCTGGTCTACATATTTAGGTTGGTGTACAAGTGTACAAGGCCATGGGTTATCTTCAATTATCGACGCCAGCGGACGTGCGGGGTGTCTTTGCCGAGGGTGGTGCGATGCCATGTCAATTCGTTCGCTCGTTCGCGTTGTGTTCTTCTTTCCCGCCCCCGATTCCATATCGTTTTCCTCCGCCGTTGACATTTACTCGCCTATCCCGTCTACATCCATTTCCAACAATTATCCTTCCTTCCTTCCCTCGATCATACAGCAGCAAAATTCTTCAGTTATGGACAGCCATGACCAAGCTCATCCAGCAACGCCCCAATCGAGTTTTGACCTAGGGGATGCCCAAGGTGAGTGCTATCTGGCAATACAAAGCGATCCAAGGCTGACTCGCCTTGAGTCGACAGATTCCGAGGTTTTTGACAGCTTTTCTGATCTGTCGTCATCGCCCCTCTTTTCTCTTCCATCGCCAGCTCAGGCGCAAGCTCTACCAGCTCGGCTACGAGATCTAAAGTACGGATACAAGCGGGGCTCAAAAGGTGCTGGTACTTTATGTCCGTCCCTCCATCCATCGTCCATCGTCTGTGATCTCAAAGTGCAACACTGACAGCTCGCCAGAATGCCATATGCGACAATCAACCATCTTGTTCCGCGGAACGACCCCCCTTCAGGCCGACAACCTTCCCTCTTCCATACCACCCGACTACTCCCTTCAGACAGCCGACGACTTGCCTTTCTGCTGGTGACCGACGACGACCGTCGCGTTCTACGTCGATCGAGATTGTCTCCTGCGTCACTCTGAATGCTTTCATGATGTCGAAAAGATGGTGTCCGACATCGGCAACAACAAAGCTGTCCTGTCTTTATAGTTCAACATCGAGACGTGTTGTCCACTGGCCCTCCTGTCCATTCTCGACGGACAACACAACGTCCCATACGCTACCCTTCTCAGAGACATACACCCACTCTGTCCTTTCGTTCCATCCTAAGGACCCAGATAACTGTCATCTCTCCCTTCCGCCAATCACGACTTCTTACAGTAGGCGCAAGCCGCTTTCAAAGATGAAAGAAGAGCAGAGCTACTTTAGGCGGGGTAAAGTGTTCTTGTAAGAGAAGCGCAGGGTATTGGTGGGAGAATGCTGGCAGGTCGGGCGGGGGATGTTATGCGACACTGTATCACCTGCAGGTGCACGGATGGCAGAGACGAGCTGTTGTGGGACGGAATCGAAGCCGAGATCAGCGCCTAAAGGCTGTCGCGGCTCCGTATTACGATCTTTCAAGACGCTGTGGGACAGTTTTTCAGCGCACTGGCAGTAAAAGATGATGAGGCCTTTCATGAGTGTATGCAGTCTTCGAATGTATTCGTAGTCGACTTCAAATGCAAACGTGGCAGAGTCTCGTAGACGCTCCCAGTGGCGGCTCTTCATCACTCTTCATCACTCAACCTCGCCTACTTGTAGCATAGCCAAACTCGATAGAGAACCCGATGTACAGTACGAGTACTACTTAACCGGTCGTACGCCCACTACGTTCGGGTTCTAGTGGCTCGGCTGCGTGGTCGTCTTTCAACGGAAACATTCGCGTAGTACGACACTTATCTATCGTTCCCGCTCGTATCATATACTTTCACAGATATGAACCATCTCTCTCTCGCTGTGTTTTGGTCAACCGATCGCTCTAAATATCCATCTCACTTCCCTAGCCCACCACCTTCCTCCCGTCAGCATATACAACCCGAAATCCTCGCAACACGTCGACATGTCAGGCGACGACGCGGAATTGATCAAGTCGCTCAATCATCTCGACGTGAAGGACGTCCAGGGTGAGTGAATCATACAAATGTCTTCCGGCCTTACACTGATGTTGCGAAGTAGACACCGACGCTTCGCGTACTCATGAAGACGTTGATCGTCGAGTGCTGTCTTCTTCTTTTACCCCCGGCTCGGACGCGGCGGATTCTGCGGGCGCGGATAGGCTGACGGGTGCGTCCCATCGCGTCCATGTAAATACGTTAGACCGCTGACAGTCATTAGAGGTCACTCGAGACGTTGTATCATCTCCCCCTACCGATCGAACCCCCGACGCTCTTCCCTCGTCCATCCATCCCGATTTCTCCGTCCAGACCAGCGACGACTTTCTGCTAGTCACCGACGACGACGTTGGCTTCTATGTCAACAGAGATTTCCTCCTGGAACACTCTGATTTCTTCCGCGACTTTGAAGAGATGGATTCAGATATCAAACAAGACGATGCTGGCAAAGGTCGTACCCAAGCCGTGCGAAGAGATATGCCGGGGGCGCTGTCAAACGGCTTGCGGGTGGTGTTGCTCAAGGTGAAAGAGACAAAATCCTGGCCTGAC